TCACAGACTAAGAAGCTGGAAGTAGTGAAGAGGAGGAGGAGGAGGAGGAGGAGGAGGAGGAAGGAAGGAGAGGAATAGTAAGGAGGAGGAAAAGTAACTATTCGTGACCAAACAGAGATCAACCTAGTCTCACTTCACCATACAATCTATCTTGCCATTCAGTCAAGTTTAGACTTTGAAGAATGTGCACAGGAGTTGCTGAAGATTGAGTATGAGAGTCAAACAAAGGAACTCTGCAACATGATACTTGACTGCTGTGCCCAACAAAGGACCTATGCAAAATTTTTTGTCTTATTAGCTGGGCAGTTTTGTATGTTGAAAAAATACATGGAATCATTTGAAAGTATGTTCAAGGAACAGTACTACACCATCCATCGCTTAGAGACAAACAAATTAAGAAATGTTGCTAAGATGCTTGCTCACCTTTTATACACAGATTCACTTACATGGAGTGTTCTTGGATGTATAAAGCTGAGTGAAGAGACCACGACATCTTCTAGTAGGATATTTCTCAAGATCTTCCAGGAACTGTGTGACTACATGGGTCTTCCTAAACTAAATGCAAGGTTAAAGGATGAAACTCTTCAGCCATTCTTTGAAGGACTGTTACCCCAAGACAACCCACGCAACATCCAGTTTGCCATTAACTTCTTTACATCCATAGACTTTGGAGGTTTGATGATGAACTTCGAGAACATCTGAAAAATACGCCCAAGGTCATTCATTTGCAGGCTGGAAACCAGAGCTAAGCAAAAGTAAGCTAGCCCTGACATTCCTTTCTTAGCTTGTTGGTTTAAGTGCATTAGAAGCACAAAATGAAGGGGGGGTTAGGGGTGGTGGTGGGAGGGGGTGTGTGGTGCCTGAGCTTCCAGTTCAATGGAATGTTTGTGTTGTGGCTCCTGGTAGGAACATTCCCTGCTCTGGAAGCAAAACTTGTAGGCCAGCAGAACCTAAGGTTGTGTGTGGGGACAAGAAGCAAAACTTTTCCTAGAGGATCATTAGGAGTGAGAGTGAGTGGAACTGTTTTCAGGCATGAAAATGTCACTGATAACTCAGGCATAGTGGCTCCAAGCCTGTATCTCAACAGAGACAGTAGGACTAATGCAAGTTAGAGGCCAGAATGGACGACAAAGTGAGACTGTCTGAAAGAACCCACCTCCCCCATCAAATAAGCAAATAAAGAAATAACCATTAGTAAACTTTACTGTGTGGAAATTCTTTCTCTAATTATATTTTATTCTTGTGTATATGGGCATGCCTGTGCCATACATGCATGTATTTCTCTCTCTCTCTCTCTCTCTCTCTCTCTCTCTCTCTCTCTCTCTCT